ATCTTCCCGAGCTGCCTTTCAGTTTTCAGCTCGGGATGCTGCTTTGTCCTAACTTCTGCCTAGGTTACTTGAGGTGTTTTCCCTGGCGAACGTTTCCTTTTTGATCCTCACTTTTGCCTAGGCTACCCTTTTTTTTGTGGGTCTCCTAGCGGACCTTGCCCTAATTTTTGCGCTGCCCCTCAGTGTGTTTCTTGTGGGACTTTTATCTTTGCAGCATTTGTGATTATCTTTCATTTCTTCATTAAAGGGCGATGCCCGTAGCACTGATCTCGTTGGGACTTTTATCCACAAGTCATGCCAAGTTTGATTGATCTTTATGTGTTCTTTTATTTCATATTAAGCCATTGTTTCTAATGACGTCCTTATTTCAAATGTACTTCTTCATTTAAGGTTTGTTGACGAGGCTTAGAGTAGAAAAAAGGGAGAAGAGAAATGAAGTAGAAAAGTGTATGGCATTAAAATAGAATTTTCAATTTACACGTGCCCATTTAATGTAGCTCGAGGGCCCAGGCATGCCCTAAGTTCGTGATTCATACACAGAGAAATAGAGGGAGGTTGCTCCTTAGAGAGGCCTAGGTTAACTGTAGGGTTATCCTACACTTGCTTGGATGTGGCACTTCAGAAGTTCTCGTGTAGAGGGAGGTCATTTGGCTTCTTCTCTCATGAAGGTGTTGTCAACCCATATCCTGAGTCTTTCCTAAGAAGGAATGGGTAGAAGCGATGATAGAGCTTTCCATGGAGTCTTGCTTTTCAAGAAGAACATTCAAGCTGTCTCTCGATTTTCAGCTCGAACAAACATTACTCTTTTTTTTTTACTAGAATGCCCTTTGCGGGTTTTCATTCTAACAACTTCTTGATAAGCAATGCTTCTCTCTTGTTGAAATCATCTTTCAAGAAAGCTCTATTCACTTTGCCTTAGTGTTTGAGGGATTCGCCTTCCTCAGGTTCTCTTTACTAGCTTGCAACTTGTTAGGAGTGTGGATCCATCCATTCCTAGTCATCTTTCCATTCCACTTGGATTTCACGGTTGCACGACACAACTTTATCTTCTTAGGGCAAGAGTTAGCGTCTTAATGATTGTGGAGTTCTTTACCCTCAACTCTTTATGCATGGCTTACTTCCATTACTTTCGATTAATGCACATAGGATAATTTCCCTTTTTATTCTCGTTTATTCTTTTACAAGGAGGGATATGTTCTAAATGAATGTGATACAGAATGTAGAGAAAGTTGAGAATAATAAATATCAGTCTCATTGATTTGTTTATTTATGAATGCTCAAATAGATTTCAACAGTATTAAGTGAGAATCTATATTAGATTCTAAGAAGACTTACTTCAACAAACATATCAAAGCAAGGGCCCAACCATAGTGTTTTTTAATAAATTGATTTGGGCTTTCCTTTATAGCGCAGATACTGTCGTATATTAGAGCATTCACTTTTCTTAACTTTCTACACATACGGTAACCTAATCCTCCTTAGCTAATAGAATAAAATTAATGAAATTAATGAACTAATCAAGAATGCATGTCATTTTTTTTTGCCTAATCTTTATCATGTTTCTATTATCTAAAGGGGAATGATGCATGGTAAAGATGAGATTTCTTTTATTGATTTTTTTTTACAAAAAAGGAAACTACCTATATGATGTTAATGGAATGCTGACCTAAGAATATACAAAGGGGTATAAAATTTTTATTATTATTTTTATTATTATCTTTATTGTTTGCTTATTATAAAATTTCAATCCTTCTTATTAGAACAAAATAATACAAACAAATGCACACACATATGCTCAATCAACGTACACCCATGAACGATCATGATGAAATCCTTGGTCTATGGTTCCTGTCAAGAAAAGTGTGTTGTATAGGACGGTTCTAATCTCACTGGTCTTTAAGGATAGGGACCCAGTATCTCTGTCGCTGTCACCTGGCAAACTCTAAGGCTTGTCACAGTATTTCGGGCTAGAGTAACCGATTATCACCTTGAGTGTGATTTCTGACAAGGCTCGCAGGCTCCAAGGCCAAACTTGGGCCGGTCGTACGTCAACCACTCCCTATGTTTAATACCCTCATGCCCCTAGGTGTATGGGGAACTATTGTGTGCAAAGGATTATGTACAGATTTGTTCAAATAGGTGCAGAATTTAAACAAACAAACAAATATATAGTAAATCCAAACAAAGGAAACAAGAAAGGAAAGGTAAAAGATATTTAAATTATTATTTTTATTTTATTAACTTCATCAATTAAATGGGTCTGACCCTCTTTAAACGTCCCCAATGGAGTCGCCATCTGTTGCAACCCAAAAATTTCTGATCTTGGGACCTATGGTTTAGACATCCTTTTAAAGATCTCATCAATTAAGAAATGCACGGACACCAGACTAATCCTTAATTAATGGTTTTGAAAATAGGTTCTATGGAGTCGCCACCAATATTTTACTCAAAATATTGGAAAAAGAAAAGGTTTTTTAAAGTCCAATAATGACCTTGATAACCAGAATTGGGTTCGGGGGTCAATTACGTGTAGGAAAGGTATTAAGCACCCCTACAACGCCGTTACATGTAGGGAATGTATTAAGCACCCTTACAACGCCCTCAATCGGTACCCTATGATGAAGTTAATGTGATAAGAAATAATAAATTAAATATTAGATCTTCAAATATGGAAAATATAGGTGCTTTGTGACAACCTTTCACACTACAATTGTCTCACAATACTCAAGAAATATAATAGAAAAGAGAGAAATTTTGAGCTCTAAGGAGTCCTGGACGAAATTTTCGACATCCCGAGAACTGTGCCCAAGCAGTCTATTTATAGACTTCAGAAAGGGTCCAGAACGGCCCGTTCCAAAATTGGAATGGCCCGTTCTAGATCTGGTCGTTAAGTGTTAATTTAGTGTATTGAAATGGGCCGTTTTGAAATTGGAACGGCCCGTTCTAGAGGTGCGTTTAACACATAATTGTCATTCTGGAACTGCCCGTTCCAAATTAAGAATTCAAGCTTCTTTTGTTACTTGGAACAGCCCGTTCCAATTTGGGAACGACCCGTTCCAAATGTAGGTTTTAGCCTTTTTTAAAGAGCCTGGAACGGCCCGTTCCAATTTTGAAATGGCCAGTTCCAATTTAGGGTTTTAGGCCTTTTTGTAAATTGGAACGGCCCATTCCAGTTTTGGAACAACTCGTTCTAGGCTTACTAAAACTAGCTTATTTGGGCTTTTAGCCTTCTGATGTCATGTCCTTTTATTTCTATGATTGGGAGCTCCTTTCCTTGATAATAGACGTCCATTTCTTCGTTTGTATGCCCCCTGGACGAAATTGGGTGTCTACAACAGTCCGTTCCAGTTTTAGAGCAGGTCATTTTAGCTTGAGAACAGTCTGTTCCCATTTGGGAACGTGACGTTCCATTTTTGGAACAGCCTGTTCTAGGGTACTAAGTCACTCTTTGTTGGGTTTTAGGCCTTCTAATGTCATGTCATGTTGTTTGCATGCTTTGAGAGCTCATTTCCTTGATAATAGACGTTCATTTCATTACTTTTGTGGGTCCAGACGAAATTGGATGTCTATAGTTAGTAGTGTATTTACAAGTGAGAAAAGGCTCTTTGTACTCCTATGAATTTTGTTTAAAAATAATATAAAATAAAAACAGTAAAGCTTACATGTAAATCAAGTGAGTCATGTATAATTAAAAAAGTGTAAAATAATTTTAAAATAAATGAAGATTAATTGTGATGACAAAATAAGTGAATAGTTATTTTTGACAACCTACAATTATGTTTTTGAATATATACTTTATCTTTTGTCCTTAAGAGATGTGATGGTAGGAAAAAAGTTAGTATATAATAAATGAGTATCAATGTCTAAAAGAATATGAAAATCAAAAGGAGTTATTCTCTTAATATATGGAATAAATTACATTTTTTAAAACTTTTTTAATACATGATATGAATTTTATTAAAATTTATAAGTATAAAGTATGAATAACATGAATATTCTTTTTAAAAAACATAATAATACAAAATTAAGTCATGTAATTTAATTAATGACTCACTGATTGGATCTCTGACTCACTAACTTGGTATTCTCATCAATTTGATGATTGAACTAATTTTTGAAACACTATTTTATATATAATTATAATATTTTGACATTAAATATAAAATATATTATTAACTAAAATGTTGATATAAAAATATTTTTTAAATAGTTATAATTTTAACAAAAGTAATTTCGTAAATAAAAAATACTTATGTTATAGTCAATTTTTTTCAATTTGAAAATTTTGAAAGATTAAATTAATACTTATTTTAAGAAGTTATGTAATTTTAATAAAAAAAAATCTTAAATATAATTTCTATATTATCTTATGGATATATAGTAAATATTAAATATATAACATTATAATATTGTTTAGTTTGTTATCATGATAGTGTACTAACATTGAACATGATTAAAATTTATCTCACTTTCATATCATATCTTACCTAATTCCAACCACCAAATGGCGCTTCACATTACAAATTTTATCAATCAAATTAACGGATCTAAGAGAAACGAAGCAAGACTAATACATGAACAGAGAAATGCTGCAACATATTAGGGCTACATCCAATGCTTTCACAATACATGGATGGAAAAATGTGAGCTCGACGCCCTGAAGTTTTAACGAAACTAAGATCGACTCAGTGAAGCAAAGAAATTATATTATACTGTTTTATTTCCCTAGCTTATAGTTTGACCAAAACAAAGACATTTCAATAATGAGCTTATCTCATTACTTCGTGGGCAACTTCAAGGTGCTCGAACTTGTAACATATAGCTTTTTTTCTATCCTCAATGATTAAAAAAAATCCTTTATGGGATCTTTAAACAAAAAAAAAAAAAAAAGGTATTATTTTATTACACTATTTACATTTATTTTAATTTTAATAAAATATCTTATATTTAAACAAAAAAAATAAGAATTCAAATTAACTAAAACAAATATTAAAAATATATTGACTACAAAACAAATAAAATTTAAACAAAAAAATCATACATTTAAACAAGCTTTTTTTTATATCATTTTATATTTTATTAAACTAATTTTACAAAAACACTTAATTCAATAAGGTGTCTTTAACATCGTTTGTTTAACTTGGCTAAAAATTAACTTTTCAACTTGTATTTTTTTCCAAACAAACCCTGCGATGCAATTGCGATTAAACTTGCACATCAAATCATTCAACTGGAAGTAAAAACAGTATGACAGTTGACGCTTCTCAATCAAACCTCTCTAGCTCCCGAAATTTTTTATCCCATTCGCGAGCTTCATACTCTTGGTCAAGTAAGTCCTTGTCAGTACTATATACAATTTGATCCTGTCCTATGACTGTCTTTTGGGCCATGTCCCGAGCACTGAAAAGCTGAAAGCCAGAACAAAGAATTGTCTCAGGGAGATTATCCCGAGTAAAAGTAAACTCCTATCCTACCTTTCCTTCCCCACCCTCAAACCAGACCAAAGCAGGGCCAGAGAAAACATATAAAAGTTCCATAGCTGAGGTGATAAACACTTATCGGATGTAATTAAGTAAGCAGCGACTAACTATCCAAAACAGTGTAGATACGACATTGAAGGCACTAACATAATGATGGAAATTCATTCAAGGAATCATTTCCAAAATTCACTCACATTTTACATGGTCACTCAATTTGTTAGGCATACTTATAAACTAAAAAAGTGGTAACGTTTTTATTTTATAAAAAAAAATAAAAATAAAAAAAGCCAAGTTGTAGAAGTATATAAAGCAAGAAATGAAGATCTAAAACAGATCTAATATAGACCCCTGTTTAGATAGAAGCTAGAAGTGTTTTTAAGAACTTCTCTACTGAAAATGATCAGGAGAGAAGCTCTTATTTCCAACAGAGAAGCTTTCAATAGCTTCTTCTAGTTTGTCCAAACAATATCATATTCTGACTCCTTATTTATTTTTTCCAATTCCAAACACAAGGCCAATGTTTCCTTCATAAATTTTAAGGGAACATTCTCTTGAATATGATGGTAAATATAAATTTAAGGAGACAAATGATTGTTTCATAAATCATACCTTCTGCCTTAGTGAAGTGTCAGGCAATTCAAGAACTTGTGCGCACTGCTGCCTAGCTGTGTTTCTCTTTTCAATATCGGCATTCTTTTTCTGAATAAAAAACCACCGAACAAGAGGAATTGCGAAGAAGGAACCAGCATAAATCTGCAAATATCACCATATAATGTATGAGAAAGTGATGCTAAACCAATGCTAATAAAAACAATTATAAGATTTACCTTCCTCAAGGAAAAATAAAATATTTAACATTGAATTGCAAACAGTTGCTAAAGTAATAATTTTTATATTTATCAATGCTTTCATTTTATCTCAAATTTAATTTAATGGCCATAACTCAAGGCAAGGCAAGAGAAGCATCCATAAAATGAGATGTTGATCAACCCGTTTTTATTTACTCACTTTTTGTCATCTCATCCGTTAAACTTCCTATTGATCAAACCCACTTTATAGGATCATGGAGTGTAGCTTTGTCACAACAATTACTACGATTCTGTATATGTGAGGCCCTAGCCTTTCTATTATACAGAGGTTGAGTTATGGGCCTTATGGCTGTAATGTATATACATTATCTAAGGGGTTAAAGTTTTTATAGAGGTTGAGTTATGGGCCTTATGGCTGTAATGTATATACATTATCTAATGGGTTAAAGTTTTTATAAAGGAGTAAGGTTTGTATTTGATATAATTCCAGTAATGCATTTCTTGGTCGCTTTATTTATCATTCTTCGTACAGTTTTCTCCATCTATCTATTTTCTTTTCCTTCACAAATTAAAGAGATATCAAGAAAGTGACCACAACCATACACAGTATATCATTGGAGAAAACTCGAGATAAACCCAGATAAGAACTGCCAACCAAATCATGAACTTATCTTAAATATGCAGCAACAAATTGCCATCAAATTCTCAAAATTAGCAATATCATCTTACATCAAAAAAGGTAATTTACAACTCCTTTTCCAATATTGAACAACTTAGTTATTTGGAAACAGAAATACTGGTCATTACCTGAAGAATAGGAAATATGTCAGCTACAAATTTAATGAAGCTACTGGGTGCAACTGCCATATCTCTGGATCAATGAAAAACAGAAGTGATGGCACTGAAACAACATAAAGAGAAAAACTAATGGTCTAGTGCATCATATGAAGAGCATACTTCAACATGGTTCCAAGAATAATAACTCCAAACAGATTAAGGCCACCCAGGCCAATGACCATTGCTCTCTCTGACATGCCAGTTTTACTGCAATAGAACAAGCAGTAATGTTATATGGTGTAATAAATACCATAACCATGACTAAGAAAAAAACACAAAAACAAACCTGAATTGCCATTTTTTTTCCTTGAAAAACTTCTCCACTCCAACCCAATCTGCCCATCTCCTTCCAACATATTCTTTCCTCTTGATCTTTTGAGAAGCTGTTCTCTGCAGAGATGGAAACCTATACAAAATATTTCCCTGCATAACAAGCAATCTGCAAGTATATATAAAAAGAGGGAAATAAGGGGAAACAAAATAATTCATAGCTGAAACCAAGGAAAATTCATGGCAGAAGGCATTATTATGTATGTGCAAGAAATTAAAGCCTTTCCCAAAAACAAAGCAACTGGCAACAATTGTATGTTATATCCTTAAAGAAATTAGGTAAGTTATATATGCCAACTACAGAGTGGCAACAAAGAGCATTTCTAAGGACTAAAATACAAGATCATCTCATAAAATACCATTTGAGAGGAAACAAGGGCAAAAGTTATTGTCTCAATATACCTCCTCATCAACTTCAGGCTGACCATCAAATCGTAAAAGCACAGGTAAGATATAGGATTCATCATCCTACAACCATCCAAAAACATAAGGTTAAAAAGTAGATATAAAAGCAGAAGATAAAATAATATTTTAAACAAATGGGTTAAATATGTTTCTAGTTCATATAAAATGAACAAATTTTAGTTTTGGTCCTTATAATATTTTCTTAGGTTTTCACTCCAAAATCTAAATCCAATACTTCTAGCCCATGCCATCATATGCCATCAATTAATTGCTTGTGTCTTATTGGCAAGTCATGTGATCATCTCAAATAGCACCCAATAATGCGCATGTGGTGCCATGTCCATATGTGACAAAAAAAATTGGACCCTAAAATAAATGTTATTTATCTGTCCTACAATGAATGCTAGGAAATAAAAAAAATTATTTCAAACTTTGGAGGGGTGAAAACTACAGAAAAAAATTACAAGGACTAAAACCAAAACTTTGCTCATTTTACAATGACTATGAACTATGATTTTGAATTTTAAAGGTATGAAAAATAAAGAATAAAATGTTCTAGGAATCAAAACCAAAATAGCTCATTTTACAAAGACCAAAAACATATTTAACCCTAAAAGATGAGAGAAGCAGTCTGTAAACAATATCGGAAAGTATCAAATAAGGAATAAGAAAATACAGTAAACCACAAGGACAATAATTTATGCCTCCATTTAGTTTAATTTAGCCAAACACAACACATAATTTTGGCACCCTCATGCAAGATTCATTATGAGCAGTTTACAAATAAAATTGGCTAATTTTAAAACAAAATGTTAAGAATCTTAGATATTATCTTATCTTGATATTATCTTATCTTGATTTTAAATATAGTATGTAGAGATAATATCTTAGAGATTATAGAAAATCATATCTTTTATATTCATGTATAATCTATGAAATAAATCAATATTAACATTCATCCAGTGTGTATTGAGACACATGGTTTCAGTCAATTATTCTTCTCTATTCTCTGGTTCTTAATACAAAATAATAGGGTTTACAGTTTAAAAGTATCAATCAGGGACATCAGGACATGAATTTTGATTACAATTCATAACTAAAGGGTAACTTACAGTCTCCCCCTCTTAAGCTGTTGCAATATAACATTGTACCAATTCTTTGATAGATATTACACTTCGATAATTGTGCTAGTCAGTAGCAACTCTAATATAACAGAATATTCCTCAGACTTTTCTTTCTTGTTCAGCTTCTCTGTTTATGTTTGACTGCCTTTGGGTGTTTTTTCTGCTCAGTTTCAGCCTTCTAGCTTGCTGTGTTCCAATTACTCTGTTAAAACAACTCCTGTATTTTGGTTTGCAGAGTTGTGTTGGTTCAAAATGTCTTCAAACGGGATAGTGCTGCCAAGGGTAATGAGGATGCATTTCATATTTGGAATTGTTAAGTAGTGACTTGTAAGTTTATGAGTTGTATTGACCTTCATATGTATTTTCAATCTAAGTTTACAAAAATTTTGTAGTGATTTTAAGAGCCTTATTTATGTTATATTTTATGCATACATGTTTGAAAATAATTTGTAGTTCAGGATCTTACAATCCATGTTACAATCTAATTAATTTCGATTTTCACCCCCCCTCTGGATCTATAGGATCTGAATTTTGACTACCTACGGGGTGATTTTTATATTTCATGATTCGTGCCCCTATATAATTAGGAATAGGTGTCTAGTATTAAGATAAATAAGGGATAGTGCATTCCTATTTAGAGTTTGTCCTCTCTTTTCCACCTAAATCCCTATAATTTCAACAAGACCCGTGAATTCACTTAAAAAAATAGCCAAATAGCTCATTCATAAAACATCCCAAATGAGACAATAAATTATCAACACTACTGAAGCAATTAATACACCAGCCCCCAAATACTCAGATGGACTGCTAATTTTTGTTTTTATAAGACTAAATTATAAATTCAGTCCCTATGTCTGACACTTTTTTGTTTGTGATTTAGTCCCTACATGAAAAGAAACTCTATATTTTGGTGCCTACATGAAAAATTGTTAACAAGTTAGTCCATACCATTTATTAAAGTTATAATGATGTTAGAACTTTTTATCACACAAGGACTAAAACAGAAAACAATATGTCAAGTGTAGACAGAAGAAATAAAATGGACAAGTTTTTATGTAATAACCATAACAAAGTGAAAAATATTTGAGTGGGGCTAAAATGAAAAAGTGTCAAGTATAAGTACCAAATTCAATGCTGTTATTAACTTTGGAAATAGCAGGGATCAATATGTAAATATCTTTCCATGTAGGAACTAAAATGTAGAGTTTTTCCATGTAGGGACCAAATTTTTAATTTAATCTTAATGATATTGCAATTGAAAATAGACTACAAAATAATCATTATGGTGCACTACTTGAAAATAGGCTTAAAAAAAGTGAAAAATACATATAAGAATTTATCTCGTTAGATTTCATCTTAAAACCAATTGACATTAAGTGAAGTTGCCAAGCAGATTATAAGGGGAACCCCAAGAGTTGAGGTAGGCAATGTAGGACCTTCAGATACCCCCCTCCATTGATGTCTGCCAAAACAGGTGAGCCTACCAAAATAGATAATTACTGAGATGGGCTATAGGCTATGATAGCATGTTAGATTTCATCTTAACAGTAATCAAATCAACATTAAGTGAAGTTTCCTACCAGAATAGGTGATAGCAACCCAGTCCTTAGTGCCACCCCAGCCCAAGATGTTCGGCCCAAGAGAAACACAAGGAGGCCTAATTATATGAATGACTTTGAGTAGCTATTGTGAACCACATTTAGAGGATTATTTTGCTTTGAATGAGTACTTCCTATCACCCTGAGACTGACGAGCAGACCAAAGTGATCAATTGTGTGCTGGAACAATATCTTAATTTATTTGTGCATGACCACCCCTCCCAATGGTCTAATTTCCTTACATTTGCAGAATGGTCATATAACACCTATGTACATTTGAGCATAGGTCTCACTCCATATGAAGTCACCTATGGCAAGCCACCACCTACTATTCCCCATTTTCTTTTAGGCTCATCTTCAATGGAAGCAGTGGATACTCTCATTGCAACGTGAGAGGCGATCCATTCTTTATTGTAGTGTCGCCTTACTAAGCCTCAAACTGCCATGAAGCTCATTGCTGATACCAAGAGGCGTGATGTATCTTACTTTGTGGGTGATTGGGTCTATGTCAAACTTCGACCTTATCGCCAACATTCTATTTCGGGCTCTCATTTTCACAAATTATCCAAGCATTTTTATGGTCTGTTTTAAATTCTCAAGCGCATTGGAGTTGTTGCTTATCGCCTTCAATTACCAATGTCCTCCAAAATTAACCCAGTGTTCCATTGCTCTTTACTCAAACCTCACAAGGGTCCTATAACGCTTCAACTTGTTCCTCTCCCTCCATATGCTACAGACAATCACCCTTTGGAGGAACCCCTCTCCATACTAGACAGCAAAATGGAGACCTCCACTTTTCCTCCGACCAGGTTGGTGTTGATATTCAATGGTTTGGTTTGGCCTCGGAGGATACAAGTTGAGAAAAATGGGATGACCTCCAATCCACTTTTCAACTTGAGGACAAGTTGCTTTTCCTAGCAAAGGGTAATGATAGCAACCCAATCCTTAGGGCCACCCCAGCCCAAGATGCTCGGCCCAAGAGAAAACACAAGGAGGCCTAATTATATGAATGACTTTGAGTATCTATTGTGAATCACATCTAGAGGATTATTTTGATGCACTCTTGGGTGTCATTGATAGATATCATTGCAAGAGTTTGTTAGGATTGCCATTCACTATTACTGCTTTTGCTTTTGGTTATTAGATTCCATTTTCTGTTTCCATCATTTGCAGCAATTGTAATCCTTATAAATACCATTACAATAAATAAGAATGGCAGAAGAATTCAGAATATATTTCTTTTTTTTTCATTAGTAGTAGGAGGCTTCCATATCCTTGAATTCTAGCTCTATCAATAGGCAATTTGCCAACATGGACTTAGCTATGATACCATGCTAAATTTCATCTTAAACCAATTGACATTAAATGAAATTGCACAACAGATATATAAGTTGCACCCCAAGAGTTGAGGTAGGTGATACGGGACCTTCCAACATATCCATTGTATGGAAGCGGTAAGCAACAACAAAGCATGCATTACCAATATATGAACATCATCAAAAATAGGTCATCCAAACCCATAAATGATCATGTTAAACTATGAATGTACCAATCCTGACTTGATATTCCAAGCTAAAGTATGTTGTCATGTCTCAAGCCTGAGCTGAAAAATAATTTTAAAAATTGGAGCCAAAAGAGCATGTCAGACAGGCATTGTCAGTGTGTTTGAAATGTGACTGAAAGTCCAAAACACAAATAGACAGCACCAAAATAATGTGTCCACACTTTATGGGAGTGAAAGGATCATTTTTGTTGGTTTTGATTTGAGTGTAAAGGGGGACTAAGGAGATAAGTTGAAAGTTGTTTTTAAAGTTGAATCTCTTAGTACTGTATGGATGATATGGAAGTAGTCGATCCATGTCATGGTTGAATGACCAAATTGAGTAAGATATCTAGTTAGAGATGTAGTCTTTGACTAGGTACTAGAAAATTTTCAAAGTTTGGGGAGTTGCTATTTGAACTTGTGTAAAGCGCAGTTCTTGGCGCCGGGCGTGTCTTCATTAGGGATCACCATTGTTAAATCACGCCGGGCGCGATTTGCAATGGGATCTCTCTAGATGAATTGCGTTGGGCGTGTGAGAACCACGCCGGGTGGGATATCAGATAGTGGCCTTGTTGGGTGTTTTACTGATGTGGCACTGGGTGCAGGGTTGATGCACCAGGCATGGAGATCCTTGGAAGTCTCTGTTTGACGTTGCGCTGGGCGTAGGATTGATGCGCTAGGCATGAAGACTCTTTTGAGTCTCTGACTTGAGGGCACCAGGCATAGGGTTGATGCGTCAGGCGTGGAGAAGCCTTAGAGCTCTCGGGTTGGATATCACGCAAAGTGCAAGATTGTTGCGTCGGGCGTAAGTAGGCTGATTATTTTGGTTAAGTTGCTAAGTTGTTTGATAAAGATGTGTTGAGTAGTTGTTCACATGTTGTTAGAGTTGTATAGTTGTGTAGAAAGTTGTCAAGTTGGTATGTGATGTCTATTGTTGAAAGATGCTTTTAAGTTGTAAGTTGCTTTAAAGTTATTAAAGTTGAGATTTTCATGACTATAGTTGCTTATTGTTGTAAAGATGGCTATTGTTGTAAAGTTGTTAAGTTGGGGATATATGGCTAAGATATATATCCTATATTGAGATACATAGTACTAAGGAGATAAGTTGAAAGTTGTTTTTAAAGTTGAATCTCTTAGTACTGTATGGATGATATGGAAGTAGTCGATCCATGTCATGGTTGAATGACCAAATTGAGTAAGATATCTAGTTAGAGATGTAGTCTTTGACTAGGTACTAGAGGGTGCGTGGTACTTGGATTGCAGTGGATGGGCTAACTCCATATGTGGATTGGTGATACAAGCCAAGGTCGTGGTAGGCCCATACCTAAACCCTTCTGTCCTAACAGAATTACTAGACCTCCAAGTCTAAGTGTCAAACGTGAGCAATCGCCTATTTTTGTCTATACTTGGTTCTCTTCGGAGTTCCTAATGATGCCCTATACCTGACCTGGTTGAGATAGGTCAAACGTTGGATTCGGTAGAGTTTATGCCACCTAGACTACTCAACCTCAGTTGTTGGAGATCTCCTAATTGTATATGCGTGACGACGCATTAGTTGAAAGTTGTATGTGTTGTTGTATTCAAGTTGCCTATAAGTTGTATGAATGAGTTGATACTCCTATAATAATATGGATCCCAGTACCTTCCATGGTATAAAAATAAATGATGTCACCAAACATTTCTCTCAAAGCAATGTGTTTTTTTAAGTTGCATGAAACTAGAGGAATGAAAATATATGTAATTCAATTAAAAAAATTAAAAGAAATTCAACTTCCCCTACACTTCCCACATCAATCACATAGGCTCAGAAAAATGTTAAGCTTTTACAGTATATAACAGTGTTACATGGTTCGTTAATAATATCTCTCCCATACCACATTTTGAAACATTAATTTCCAATTGTGGCTGTTTGTGACCCCAACACGCTCTTTAGTAGCGTTCCAATTTTTAGATCATTATGCAGAAAAGGAAGAACCAAAAAACAGTTACTAGAAGGGACCACCACTTAACCCTGCTTCTGCATATGTTACACTGCTCAGTGCCTTTTGTCTGCTCGGTGTTTAGAAGCAGCCACAGGGACCAGGGGGTAGAGAAGGATGGCATGTATATTTTAGGAAACATAACCATTATTTGGGAATATTCACTGATTGGCTCTGATGAAGAGAAGATGATTAGCTGCGCATGGTCAGCGACTTATGGGGATCCAGACCATCAAATCTACTTCTGGTTTGTTATATTATATTACTTTTGTAGATGTTTATACTCAATTTTACTTGGATTAAACTTTTAAAACAAAAGATGTCTCCTTATCAAATTTTATATGGTCGCACCCCTCCGGTATTATTTATGGGAGACACTTTTCCCTCAAAGGTAGATGTTATTCGACTTCAATTGGAAAGAGATAATATGTTGCAGCAACAACAAAACCTGGACCAAGCCCAACAAAGGATGAAGATTATGCAGACAAGAACAGAAGAGAAGTAGAATTCAGTGTGGGTGATTGGGTGTATCTTAAGGTTCAATCGTACTGCCTAAAATCCTTAGCAAGAAAGAGAAATGACAAGTTGTCTCCGCATTATCATGACCCCTACACAATTGTCCAAAGAATTGGTTCGGTTGCATACAAGCTAGAGCATGCTCACGTACATCCTGTTTTTCATGTATGCTCACTGAAGAAGTCACTGGCAGCATCATCAATGGCACAACCTCTATCACCAATCCTAACCGAGAATGGGAGTTACAAACCCAACCAAAAGATGTGTTAGCTGTTAGGTATGGGAATGTGGGAGCAGTAGAAGTCCTCATCCGATGGGAGCATATTCCTTCTTGTGAGCATTCATGGGAACAACAAGGTTATCGATGGCGGATAACGGTCTATGGCAGTGAGGCTAAAAATCCTTTATAACTCTATGGCAGCTGCCATGACGGCCTATGGCGGACATCATGGCAGCCAAAAAAAAAATAATTAAAAAAATATTTATATATATTATATACAAAGAAAACAGCAAAATAATAAATAACAAGAAACAAAACTAAATTAAAAGCAACTTAATATCAACATAAATACTTAAATATCATAACAACAATACCATAATTCATTAAGTCTCATTAGTAGCGGACAAGTTGAGTAAATACGCGCATTTTATTTTGTTCAAACATCCTTATTCAGCTCGATCCATTGCGAAGGTATTTGTAAGGGAAGTGGTTCAACTACACAGGGTGCCTACTTATATTGTAAGTGGTGGAGATCCAACTTTCATTAGCCATTTTAGGCAAGAGTTATTCAAATTGCAAGGAACAACGCTTCAAATGAGCACGACTTATTCTAATAAACAGACTGGGGTGCTCAATCAGACACTTGAGACATATTTGTGTTGATTCATTAGTAACCAAAAGCTTGGGCAGGCTTCATTCCAAGGGTTGAATATTGGTATAACACTAGGTTTCGAAGTGCAACACATTGTACAGTTTTGAAGTAGTTTATGAGCATCCCCCACCTTCGCTTTCAAGGTTTATTCCAAGAGAAACCTTAGTGGAGGCAGTAGCTCAAGACTTGATGGATTGTGACGAAGCTTTAAGGCAATTGAAATTTCATAATGGCCAAACATAAAATTAAATGTCCCGCTATGCCAATGCTCAAAGGAAGCCTTCCATGATTCAAGTTGGAGACTGGGTGTACTTAAAAAATAGACTGCATCGACAAGGATCTATGCCTACCAAATTGCATCCTAAGCTCGCAACTAGATATTATGATCCTTCTTTGTTCCTTAAACAAATAGAGACGGTAGCTTTCCAATTGCAATTGCCAAAAGAAGCTCACATTCATCCAATTTTACATGTATCTCAACTCAAGCGAGCTATTGAAAACCACCCAATAGGGAACGTACTGCCATCAAGATTCCAAGGGGATGTTACTATATATAGCACATCCAAAGTTTTGGGTACTCGAGTTGTATATGAGTTTGGGGAACATGTGCGTGCAACAATTGTTGATTCAATGGTAGGGGAAAACGTTAAAGGAAGCACTTGGGAAGATCTTTCTAACATCAGAAATCAATTTCTAGACTTCAACCTTGAGGACAAGGTTGTTTCCAAGGAGGGTGGTATTTTAGGACAGCAAGTGAGCGACCAGCTGAGAATAAAAATGTCTTATGTGCTTACTATAGAAGAAACAAATCAAAAGAGGACAATCATTGTAACTAATTAGTGGTTAGAAGTCAATTTAAAAGTAGGTTTAGGCATTCAAAGATAAGCCTATAAGTAAGACTTCGAAAGTAAATGAGAATGTTTATTGGGGAATTCATTAGTTTGACTGAGTTATCCTCGGTGTGAAGGAGGATGCTCCTTGTGTAATTCTTTTCCTATTCTTTCTAAATAAAGAGGTATGTTCCAATTATTTCGATTCCAATCTTTCTTGTTCTTGTTTTTTCTAAGGGTTCCTAACAGATTCAGACCGCTCAAAATATCTAGAGTGTATCATTCTCTTAGGGAGATATTCCCTATAATTCAATAAAGATTTACTTTCTTTTTTGTCTTGACTCACAAGTTTTATCATGTTCTCTAAAGGAGTGTAGTTCTGTGGCAGTAGAATATTCATTCCACTGTTATTTCTATTTTACTTCAAAAATAATATAGACCTTATTTTCCATTATTGAGTTGTTTTCTTTAATTGCTATTGTGGGATTTGGGTTTGAATCACATTTCCACTCTTAAAAACATCTCATAACTTCACTACAAATGGAGTTTGGACAAATGGATGGTTTCAACTATTCTATACAAATGAAGTTTTAAGCATAAACCTCGTACAAATTGTGGCCCAAACCCCCAAAATCATGTAGAATATTCACTAGACTAAATTTCAGACTTACTTTTCCCCTTTTTCACAAAGTCACATGTAGAGTTGGTTTTGTAGCCATTGTGTATTCCATAATGAATAAGCTTTTTCATTTTGTTCACCCTCAAGTTCCTAAATTTGGTGGTGGTCAAGCCAATAGCTTTGAAGCAGAAACCATGTACAAAATGTGACCCAATGCTTGAAAATTGAATTGAATATTCACCAGTCTAATATTCAATTTCATTTCTCCCTTTTCTCACAGAGATAGATGTAGACTTTTTAAAGCTCCCATTGCTTCATTGCAAATCAATAAGCTTTTTCATTTTCTTCATCCAAAAAGTTCTAAATGCTCTTGATCTTCAACACAACGGCTTTGGAGCATAAATCAAGTACGAATTACCATCCAATTCAAAGAGATCAAGTGGAATATTCATTAGTCTAAGCTTGCATCATCTAATAAATAACTATCATACAATCTAAAACAAATTGTAATTTTGACTTTTTAGCAATGATCATCTTTTACATCATTTGGTGTTAATTTGTTATCCAAATTCAAATTTTATATCATGCAAGACAATATTGTAGTGATGCACAATATTGTAGTATATTTTTCTTGGTATCATGATATTGGCATGAGTATCCTCCGGCTTGCCAAAATATCGTTCCAATTGGATTGGACAATGTTGAGCAACAACAAGTGAATTGATACTCAAGAAAAATTGGCACCCCTTATGGAAAAGGGATAGAAATCCCACCTGATTAATCCCAATAACTAAAGAGCAATGCTAAAAATATTTGGTCACACTGAATCCCATTCTCTATTTGTACACCAGAAAGGTAAATGCATTGGTTGAATGATTGAGTTCTTCTAACATCTGCTTAGGAACAAATTGTCTAACTATTGTGGTGTGGATCGCATGGTTCTGTTATAATAGAGCTTTCCACCATGTCTCTCTGCTGCAAATGAGTGGTTCAGTGCAGTGCTCACCAGGGCTAGTCAAAAAGCTCCAACTAACCCTTATGAGCATTGGGGTTGTCGAGCATAGTGGGATGTTAGGATCCAATTGCAAGGTATGAGACCCACATTGGAAGTATAAGATTCTAGTGTGGGGTTTATAATGTCATAGGTTTTCCAACTATAACAACTAGCTTTAGTGGTGTGGTTCTCCCAAGGTTCTTATAAAAATAAGGGCAAAAAAGCAACCGAATTTAACTTCATTTCATCACCATCATCAATAATAAATATGTACATATTAAATGACGACCCTAATTTATATAAACATATCTTACTCTTTTCCCTCTTCTTTATCTTCGTGTCTCTTGTCTTCCTTATCTTTTCTTTACATTTTCATGAATAGTTATCAAAAACTACATTAGCAGCCAAAAACACATAATTTTTCAAATTCTGAAAACCACAAGAACCTGGAAGAAAAATATTAAAAATTTCATATAAAATCCAACTCCTACACTAGAAAAGAGAATTACCAAAATAAATCAACAGGATTAAAGTAGAAAGTGACTCCTGAATCATATGACCTGCCTCCACGCCGTCCACGATTGTCCTCATCACTGCAATTAAACAACACTATTCCCTCATTCACATCACTAGAAGATAAATTATAATTTGAGACATCAAAGTCACGACGTACCTTCTACTGCTAGTTACAAGAGCAATTATTGTAGTGTAAACAATAACAATGGATGCAATAAGCGCTGTACCAAAAGAAACCCTAATCAAGTATTCTCCAGCGGCCTGTGAAAGCCAAAGCCATACACATAAAAGAAGCAGAGTGAAGCGAGAAAACGTGATGGAGCAGAGAAGAGAATAATACCCATACCTTAGCTTTTTCAAAAAGGGGTTCAACTTTAATCCTAAAAGACTTGGCACCAAGCCTTGATCGATAATCCTTGGGGAACACATATAGAACGTCACCTTCCTGAGAAACCTCTAAGAAGCCATCCGCATCGGAAGCGAGAGCTTGGAGAGCCTTCTGAGCCTGATTCAAGTTGAGGCCAGCCCTGCTAGCCACATCGCCAATGGTCACTCTCCCACCGCACCCATCCACAGCATCCATCGTTCGCTTTCTCACATCCGACGCCAACTTGTCGCTCTCCACTATCCCTCCCGGCCTCGCGCCCACCAAAACCCTAGAACCCCATACCCTTTTACTTTTCCAAATCACCGCCTTTTGTACGCTCGGGAATGCTATTGCCTGCTTCGGCCTCTTCGCCAAACTCGAACAAGTGAACGAAAGCAACCGTGAAGTCATGCACGTCGAGGTCGAGGTTGAGGTCGAGGTCCAGATGGACGCCATTTCACTTCAAATCTAAAGGAAGATGTTAGGATCGCATTTTCAAGAATAAATACCCATATTTATCAAAAAAACCTTTTTTAATAATTACTTACTTGATTATTATTTTTTTATTTTAACTACCGTTTCAAATTTTTTTCATACTTCAATTTTTTTTAATAAATTAAAAGGATTGTTTTATGGTCGAGAAGGATCGCAGATTAGCCAGTGAAAAGAGGCGGGAGCGGGAGGATGAGGCTCTTGTCGTGTAATGTATTGTTGAATTAAGTATTTATAATATATATATATATATATATATATATATATATATATTATATATATATATATATTAGAGAGGTCGAGACACTTCGTGCTTCTAATAATTATATATAGATAAATTTTAGAAATTTTAGAAGATATAAGATTTTTTTTACATTCAAGGTATAATAATAATAAGTAATGTAAAATTATTTATACGATTGTATTATTTATCTAGTGGGGCCGATGCACTTTGTATTGGATAATTCATGTAAAGGGGATATGTTTATATGAATCGAAAGGAACAAAAATAGTTCGTACATATTTGTTCATCTATTCTTTTCTATCAGATATGTTTTCTTGTAAAATTATTTATACAATTGTATTATTTATCTAGTAGAAAAAAGGCACTACGTGCCTGCATTGTATTAAAATAAAAAAAAATAAAAAAAATAAAAAGTTACTCATAAAAAAATAATTTTAAAAAATAAATAAAAGATAAAATGATTCATATAAAAATAAAAACCAAAAATAGTTATTGACAATGATATCTCCTTTATATATTAGTATAGATTTATTAGTTTGAAGTTTTTAAATTTGATTAAAAATATTTTTTCTAATTTTTTAAAATAGAAGGGTATAATGGTCAGAAAAAGTAGAGACCATGATAATTACTGAAAAGAGTTTCCCTTTTATATATTAATATAGATATTATAATTACAAGTATTTTTTATTGGAGTTAATTTTGTTAAAGTAGTATATTTAAGTATTTAACACAATTTTATACCTAATTTAATAAAAAAAACCAAGAGAAAAATAAATAAAAATAATGGAACTTACCATTTACTTATTCAATGAACAACAAAAAAATATCAATAAAATTGAATGTTGTGTCAAAATTAATCAACGAATATTTTAGTATATGTACTTCACGTTCTAAATGTTTATTATACATAAATAAACTTTATAATAAATTAATATATATATATATATAAATTATTATTTAAAATTTACATAAATAAATATATTTAAACATATAAATAATATTTTAAATTTATGATAAAGAACTTATATCATGATATATGATTATTTATAATTATTAATAATCTTTTTAAAATGTTAAAATTTAATTTA